TGGGTCCAGTTCATATAGAGTCCCTGCAGTCCCATTGCTGTTACGTGACACTTATTGGAAAGGGCGACCCCACAATGGATTCATATAGCCACTCTTACACACCTGCACCAACGTTTCCCAAAGTGTCTGTACTGTATTGTACTGTGTAGGGGAGAGTGGGGTAAGATGCCCAGGGTGGGAAAGACGCCCCACCCCCTCTAGCGGAGAAACAAAGAATCGAACCTGGAAATTAATGTTCTTAGCGTAAAGCGGAAGCCTGCCTTGTTAACTGCACAAAAATTTGCGAAGCTCAGTTGGGCAACGGCTGGCTGGTGATTGCATGTTTTTTATTTGCTGCTTTCAAAAAATATTTTGGCGTCAAAACATTGTAAATATCAAAGAAGGTAGATAATTTTTGCGTCCCTTGCTATAGTCGTGATACATTAACATGCGTGTACTGTGTCCCAAACAGTTTGTTTCAGGGTGTAGTTTTATGGCTAACAAATTGTGCTGATTTAATGTTACTTCGGTACCTTGGGGTAAGATGCCCCCTGTCCTGATGGGGAAAGACGCCCCCCTAAATCCGTAGGCTGTCCTTCAAGCAGCCCGTCAAATCATTTATTACATACTTGTGATGAGAGACAAAAGCCGATCTGGGACTATTGAGAGTCCGGTACGGTCGGGTGCTCCCCATGCCGGTCTCTCGGCCCACACAGGGCCTTTTTGGCGGCATCTGACTCTGAGAACCCTCACGACGGCCTCTGTAGGCCCCATTATTGGTTCCAGGGCCCCTCACGAGATCCTTTGAGGGCTCCCACGTTGGCTCCACGGGCCGCGTTGGCATCTGAGGCCCCCACGATGGGCTCGAGGGCCCTCAAGCATCATGAAGACCTATAAGGGCCCCACAGTGGTCTCCGAACGCCACCACGGAGGCTTGTTTGGCCACGCTGGACTATGATGGCCCTAACGATGACCTCTGAAGCCCCTTACGACTACTTTTGAGGGCCCTTACGATGACGTTTGGTGTCTACTGCAGGCTCCAAGGGACGACTGATTCGTTCAGGCGATTCACGTGCCTATTTATGTCACTAGTGCAGGGGGCATCTTACCCAACGCCAGGGGGCGTCTTACCCACCCTGTGGGGTAAGATGCCCCCTTTCACTTCTTCAGGAAAATGCTTAATAGCAAAAAAAGTTATCATATTTCAGGCACGAAAGTGGGATATTTTTGGAGAAAAATGATGTCGGCTTCCGTTGAAACTCCAAGTTTTGGCTCTCCGATCGTCATTTTCGAATAAGATATGACATAGTCAAACCCTGGGCATCTTTCCCCACTCTCCCCTACTGGCAGCGCTGATCTGTTTCGCCGGCTCGCTCATGTTGGCGCGCGCGCAGGCGGGTCAAAGTTCGGATGTGCCGGCGGCCGGCAGCGGCGAAGGCCATCTGCAGCGGCCGCCGGGCAGTGGGGGTCAGGCGGAGGGGAGGATCGGGTTTGCGCGTCGTTCGGTGTGCAGGTGCCGACCGCGGCAGTGGAAATACAGTTCCGGCTTACAGTGTCCCTTTGATAAGTGGCACTTTGGCAAAGTGACACTTGCCGACTGGCCTTTCTATATGAACTGGGCCCGGCCCTGGTGAGTTGCCGGGGCTGAGCCTGACCAAAGGATAGGCCGAGCAGCCCCCAAGCACTCACCGCACCCGGCTACGGGCGAGCTCGGCTTACGGGCAATCCCAAATGGGAATGGGATAAAGTTTCCCGTCCAATCCGGATCAGGGGGTTGCGGCGTGGAGGAAGATTTGAGTTTCCTGAGGATACTTGAGGATATTTTGAATACAGAAGCTCTTTATGAAACATGAAACATGTATTTTATATTATTTTAACGGTCAAAACAGCGGCCGATGTCGGTCCGACGTCGCCCCGACGTCGGCCCGACGTCGGCTGGACCTCAGCAATTGATCTCGGTCCGACGTCGGCCCGACGTCGGCTGGATCTCGGCTGGACGTCGGAACATGCGGGCATATCCGACATCCAGCCGACGTCGTGCCGAGGTTGGACCGACGTCGGGCCGACGTCGGCATGCCGATGCCGAGTTGCCGACGTCACCCCGACGTCGGCCGACGTCGGGCCGACGTCGGCATGTTTACTGGGTATGGTGTTGAAATATCGTTCGGAGGAGCATCGAGATAAATATTTTTGATTAAAGCGTCTGAAATGGAAGGTAGCTACTATTTTCTTCAAATCAGCATGTAAGAAAATCAAATCATTGTGGTACGTTGGACGTAGCCGGTACTCTTGCTTGCTCCACCATCTTTTGTCCAGAACTGAGCACAACTCTGCGCCGGACGAAAGCGTTTTGTTATTCCATTCCCGATCGTTCCATCTTCCATCCATTCTTCGCTTGGTTCATTTATCGCTCTACTCTTTACTGCCTTTTGCTCCTTCTGCTTTCTGATATGTGCGTACAGTTGTATATCACTCATTTTTAATATTCACATTCCGATAGACATTCATATCCGTATCAGGCTAGATCGGTGCTGGCGATCGCGGCGGCGCACACTGGTCGGAAACGCTCCAGCGAGAGGCCAGCGGCCTCTCCGCAAAAGTTTTTTGTTTGTTATTCCACAACTAGTGAAGCAAACTTCATAAAACTTTGCATACCTTCTCTGTCATATGTAAGCTATCATTTGGATGTCAAGCACTAAATATATGACGTGGATCTGTTAAGTTATGACGTCATAACTGAGTATAATACAGGATCTAGCACCACTTTAAGTCAACAAGGGAAATTGGGAGCTGCTATTCGGGCACCGGGAATGGTTTCATGCACTCCTTGCAAGGTCCAGTGCTTCACTTTAGCATTGTTGACTTTGCATGACGGCATTTATGACGTCACTAAGGCCATATAAGTTTTTCGTCAATAACTCCTGATCAGATGGAGCTAGAGAGTCGGGAAAGCCACCATTGGACTCAGGAAGACCTGCCGAATCGAATGATATGCGATATGACCTCCTTCAACCATTTTCGTGACCTGAGGGGCTCCGACCTGACCTTGACCCGAGGTTAACACCTTAAGTTGACTTCACCCGAACACCAAGTATAGCATTCAACGCGCCTGAGCTAGACAAACACGATGACGCCAAAATCGCGGCAGTGCGACCATTTTTGGCTAAGTAATTAACCTAAAACCGAGCCCGTGCCTTGTGGCACTTACCTGACCTAAGAGGCCACTGGCTGACCTAAGACCTTAAAATCGGGTAGTACCTAATTGTTGCGTCTTATAACGGCACACAAGCTCGTTTTTTTCGCGAGGCTCTAGCTCAATTAGAGACGAAACGGCGAGCGAGTTGTACCAACCCTCCCCGGTCAATATAGAAAACCAATCGGTCCGGCCAGGGTTAAATACCGGAATTGTGATCTAAGGTAAAAAGACGGCCCAAGGTAGCCCGACGTCAGTGACAGGTGTCCTATATTTGCAGCGTCTTATATTCACGAAGGTTTCAATTTCCACTTTATTCAGCCGAGTGATGGCTGTCAATAGCACGGCTCTCTAAATGCAAGCCGTAATCGCCACGCAATATGTGGAAGGCTTTTGATGTCAATGCATACATAAATGCATACATAAAACGCGCTTTTCACAAAATTCATAAACTCAAGCGCATCTGTTTTTAATGACCAGTCAAATACGCATGGATCCGTGCAGGCCACACAGGTCAGCGTATAAGCCGGGCGCGGCGGCCGAGCCGAAACTGGGGCGGGGCGGGCGGTACTTGGGTAGGAAGAGCGGCTCCTGCAAATTTTGCGCAAATATGCGCAGTTAGCTTTTATGTTGCCGTGGTGTAAATTTAAATCCTGCTTCATGTCACAAAAAATCAGAGTGGAACTAGATGGGACTACCTGTTGGTTCCTTACCTAAACTTTGCAGTTATATTCCAGAATCACTGTAGGAGAGCCTTCATAAAAAAGCTACAATAAATCTTAGTTAGGGGAAAAGTATACCAAAAATTTTGCACTGACCAGTCGGCAACTTCATAACGAACATTTTGATGCATAATATGTGGGATTTCAATTTGGTGTCTATCAGCAATAAGACTCTGAATATCCGGCTCAAGAAACCTCTTGCTCCGCGTCAGTTTCCGAGTTCTGGGATACCCCATCTTCGGGGGCTGATTACAGTTATTTTTGGTCACCCGGATTAGTTTTTTTGGCCTAAGTATAATAATTTAATCAATTTCAAATCGATCTATATAAAAAATAATCCGAAACTCCGGAATCGCCCGTGGCCTCTCGTGAGGGCGTTTCCGACCAGTGTGCGGCGAGCTGTAGCGTATAGGCTGTCCCGCCGCGCGCAGGTGTAATGCGGTACAGCCTACCTCCACAGGTGGTTTGGCTGCGTGCTGCGGCACTGTGGCGCTGACGCTTGGTGCGGTACCTATGTACAGCCCTCTGCACACTGCGTGGTAGGCATTCTTTTTCCGACAAAACCGATAATAACTCAAAGACTATGTTATTAGTCGGTCGGAACTCATTGCACATAGATGCGCCATGCTCCACTCCTTCGATTGGGCGTATCGCTAAGCAAGGTTTACGCCTATTGTGGCACCAAAATGCAAAAGTTTGTTTTTGGGCCAAATCTAAACTTTTGTGTTTTGCTGCCAAACTGAATGGAAAATGTATACTATGATAAGCCCAATCTAAGGTGCGGAGTCTCGCGCGTCTTGCTGATACGATTCCCGAGTGACAGAAAGCATAGTTTTCGAGATATTATCGTTTTTGTCGAAAAAAGAATACCTACCACGCAGTGTGCAGAGGGCTGTACATATGTGAGGCGAGATGCGCCCGAGCTGTGATGTGGGAACTGGGAACGGCGTTTTCAGCCAGGTCACTGGTGGATCCAAGAAAGGGGGAGCATTTTGGGGCAGTGCAGTGGGGCATTGGAACATCGGGGCATTTGTCCCGCCTGCTGAGTTGTCTCGTTACATGGAATTCTGATTGCTTGCCTTTACACTCTTACAGTTGGCGACACGAAGAGAACAGGCTTCAAAGCGCGGCGCCATTCGCAGCTCTGAGGAGCTCGGTAGAGACTCTGAGTATAGCGGCGGGGGAGCTACGTACGAAACGGCAGCGGAGCCTCTGAGGAGCGGCGGTGGATGTGGTGGAGCCTCTTCTGAGGGGCGGCGGTGGAGCCTCTGAGACGGTCGGGTCATGGTGCCGTCGCGCGGTGTCCGCGCGTCGCTCCGCCTGCCGTCCGTGCCGCCGGGACTGGTGCTGTTGGTGCTGGTACTCTCCACCAGTGACGGCCGAGTGGACATTGCTGGAGGTGAGTTGGTGATTGCTGGGGGGGGGGGGGGGGACTCCTCACTCGCAGCAGGACTTAGGCACATTGCTCTCTGCTGACCACTGAGCTTGTTATCGGTGACAGAGTAACTAACGTAGTTTTATTCAATATCTTATGTCTGCAGTGCCTTACAGTGTAGTACCAGTGTTTTGCATGGAAATTCTAAATGGCCTCAGAAGATTGAATTTAGATCGTGGCCCCAGAGAAACACATCTGAGCTAGAATCGATTTTCGACAATGGGGACAGTTGGGCCTGAAACGTCACAACTGCAAATTACTGAAATAAGGATGTAATACACCCACCTATCTTATGACAAAAGCTGAACAGCGAGTAGAGCAAGTAAAATATGAACGTTACAAGTATATAAAATATTAAAACTCGTCTGATTAATTAAAAAGAGCAAACCTTGCAAGGTATGAGGAATGGAAACTGAGTAAAGAATATATATCTTAATAGATTCTCTACTCCACAGCATATTCGTGCGTAAATCGATAAACAACTTGTGAATTAACATCACTTGCCTCTAAAAAATATTGCCAATAGCCGCCAATGGTACTGTGTTATTTGCCGCAGACGAAGACACGGCAGTTTATCATAGTCAGAATTAGTTGCAGTGAGCGCAGATCCAGAACGGCGTTAATCACTGTAGTTCATAACTGAGCGAACCGCGCCAGACGAAATGGCTAGATATTAAATCAACGTCGTCTACACACCGATCGTTCTCTTCCTTCTAGAAATTTGATAAGACTAGATTGATGATAAAAATATAATTTGATAAGCCAACATTGATAATAAAAAGATAATACGACGGCCATCTGGTACACATCTGGTGCACATTTGGTGCAGATTAGGTGCAGATTTGGTCAAATTAGGTTCAGTGTATCTCTTAGTGTAGTAGCTATCAGTTAGGGTTGCGCCAATACCTTATATGCTTGCTTTGTCATATTATCAGAGAGCATCATCGCTTAAAACACTGAAATAAATACATAAAATGAAGAAATTTGCTGTAAAAGAGATTAGGTGCAGCTTTGGTCAAATTAGGTGCACTCGCCGGACAGTCCGTCGTGAAAACGGCTAATTGCAAGATTTATTAATAAAACGAGTTATGTTCCATAAGTGCGTGGGTTAATTTGCCAGCCTTCGGAAGATGGAAGATGGTACTAAAATGATATTCAGATATTGAACAACAGCTGCCTTGCCTCAGAAGCTTTGTTTGGAAAAGTCAATCGCCTACTCAGACGATTGGCGAGAGACCGGTTCCAGTCGCTCCGGCGCGGCGACTCAATTATGATTACTTCAGACAGGCACGGTGATGACCAGTGACAGTGGTCTCGTATGTACCACATGCAACTCGAAATATCCAGACAGGAAGGCAAAAACAGTCATCTACGCTATTAGTCTCCCTCTCATCTTCGTGAATTCTGTTCTCAATAATCTGCAATGCTCGCTCAGGCAAAATAAAAAACCCGTGCGGTGCTTCAGCATCTTACGTAATTCCCAAGCACACATCCGCTCAGCATCAGATTAGACTATAACCAACACATTAAGGTTTTTTGACAGTTTCGGTCGACCGTGACGGCTCGATAATTCTCTCTGTCGCCGTTCTGGTCGCTAGGGTACTATTTTTGGGTAAGTGTTATTTAATGTATTGAGCTGCAAACTAATGCGTCTCGACGTCAACTACAGAGCGCTATATGGGGAGCTAAAAACAGGCATCAAAATACTGACACACACCATTATTGCAGAAATAAGTCCGTCTGTATCGTATGGCAGTCATCAGTCAAACTCTGAACGATCGCAGGCAGCAGCGTTTCTCGGAAAAGCAGTCAGCCTGATGGCCACATTTGGTCGGCTTGCGGCGGTCTGATTCTCACCATTGTGGGCTGCGTGCAGCCACTGGTGCCGACGCTGGAGGTTTTTCTGAGCGTAGGCCCAGACGTTAGAAGAAAACTTTATCCATTACTCGGGGCGCGCCAGGGTGACAACAGCTCTGCGCAGAGATTGTATCGCGCGTGCCAGCACAAGTTTGTCTCTTCCTCGGACTGTGACGGGCGAGTCACTGATACCATCCCATCCCAGGCGGCTCTGGCAACTTACGCCAGTTGTGGAGCAGCAAATGCAGCCATTTGTAGGCAGGAAAACAACCCGCTAACTTTCCGCCGATTTTATTTTGCCTGCAATGCATAGGACTCTGTTGAAAGTATTGTCTCACTTTCAAGAAGGGCGTATCGACTAATATGAAAAGACACTTTCTTCAAAGAACTAAAGCTGCCAGTTATGTTTACAAGGTTCACTCGTATGCATTGTTTTTCAGAAAATCAGGCATTGGCATTTGACGGATGGCTGCTGACGTGTCAAGTAAAACTTCAATAAACAGATTGTTGGGCTATTTTCTTTATGAGTGTTTGACAGCGTAAAACTATTTTTGGAATGCTTGCGAAATATTATCGTAACCCTACATTATGCTCTTAGATGACGCAATTCTGTATTTTATTGGCCATAAACCAAGGTGCCAGCGCCTGCAGGTGCCGTTCTGTGTCTGTCGAGCGCCGTTCTGCATCTGACTGTCCTGCGGTTTCGCGTTTGTTTCCAGTGCCGGTGCAGGTCGTGCGCGGCCTGATCGGTGGTCAGGCCACCCTGCCGTGTCCGACTATGGAGCAGAGGGGCGACACACTGGAGCTGGCACTGTGGTACCGACACGACTCCAGCTCACCGTTCTACACGTGAGTCGCTAAACGGCTGAGACTGTGGTGATCTTAGTCTACTGAGAGGACAGGGGACCAGACATGTCTCTGCCTTTGTATCTGCCTCTGTCTCTGTATTTGTCTCCGTCTCTATCTGCACCTGCCTGTTTGTCTGTCTGTCTGTCTGTATGTCTGTCTGTCTGCCTGCCTGTCTGTCTGTCTGTCTGACTGTCTGTCTGTCCATTTGATTCTGCCCTCTCTCTCTCTCTCTCTCTCTCTCTCTCTCTCGCTCTCTCTCTCTCTCTCTCTCTCTCTCTCTCTCTCTCTCTCTCTCTCTCTCTCTCTCTCTCTCTCTCTCTCTCTCTCTCTCTCTCTCTCTCTCTCTCTCTCTCTCTCTCTCTCTCTCTCTCTCTCTCTCATCAGGATCGATAATAAAGTATTTCATATTTCACAAGACTGTGTCGCAAAAGCTCCTAGTAGCGCACTTGTAAGTGGAGTACGTATTTAATATAGGTCAAAATCCATTCTTATATACCATATTGTGTCGCCAGAAGCTGCGATAAGGAGCTCTCGAACTTCTATGAGAGAGAGAGCTATTAGATCGTGCTGCAGCCTATATGTCACTCCCTCTTGGCTCTCCTTATTGCCCTGGTGTTAGATTCTGCCTACAGCTACCTGCGTGTATTCCACGTGCCCCCGGCTGATTCATGTTGATCCTTATAATAATAATAATATTGGAAGTTATAAGGATGAAAAAGATTCCCATCCGTTCTCTCCATCCAGTCAGGACCAGCCTACCTGTTCATACTATGTGTATCGCACTGACTGTCTGTCATCCCACAAGACAACCGGTTTAAGGAAAACCCGAAATGGAGAAGGAATAGGTTTTCCATGACCGAAACAACCTACAACCCAATTAAAAAGGGGCCGAAGGAACTACTATGAAGTCTTGAACTTAGCAGCTTGCAAGGCAGCCTGGTAACCCACCCACTCGGTCTCACAGACCCACCCGGCTGGCCGTCCCGCTGCTGTGGTGATGCGGGTGTCGGGAGCCACCTCTAATCAAACGTTCCTTTGTGGGCGGCTGCTGGCGGCGCGCTCCATTACCGTGCGGAATGCCTGCCGCGGCTAATGTGCTGCTGGCGCCCCCGCGCGGTCGGGCCGATCATAGGCGCCAGCACGCCACCGACACCGTACCACCGTGCTCACCGCACGCCAGGCCTGCTCAGGCTGTTCAGACAGACGAGTTGCGTGGTATGGCAACGTAATTTGAGTAACCATTTATTACATTTTGGCAGCACCGCGTTATAGCTTATTTAGTTCAATAGCTCCAATTCTGTAAGGTATTAAAGATCAATATCTTGGAAACACGAACTTAGATATTATTTGTGCATTCAGAGACAGAAGGCTAGCATAGAAGTCTCTGGGTATCTTACAAAGCCATTTTGATTAACTTCTATCAGCTGTTTATTATGTCGCCTACCGCTACGTAGGTTTTAAGCTGAGATATGGCAATCGGGGAATGGTCACCTGCTGTGGTGAACTGCATAATTACCATTCACCACCATGGTTAGGGCTCATTTGCACGTTTGAATGGTTTCCTCCCTCAACTGTTTGCATTTGTTCTCCACCTTGGCTTCATAAACTTGTCGGCTGCGCGAAGACAGGCCGGCCAAACGTGCAGGCACTTTACATGGGCCAAGCGACGCGTGGTTATCTAAGCAGTCTCCTTGGGATGCCACTTTTGGTCACCGGTTATCGTGAAAAGCTATTTTTATCTTAAGTTTTTCACCTTATTTTCCGATTCTTTATTCTAGTGACCAGTCAAAGAAAGGAGAATAACGTATACAACATGCATAGCTTCGGGCCTGAATGCCTTTTCTTTCAAATGTGTTCGTTTCCAATTGGAAACTCTGCCATGTCTACTGTTCTTCGGCATTCTTTGCACAAACATTACGCGCTTTTAGCTCTGATAATGATGGTGCCTAGTAGGCATTGCATAACAGTGGTTTTGTGCAAAGGTTGACAAGTGCGACCATCAAGGCTTGTCAGGCCGGAAGGCCAACAGGGCGGCTAATGAGTGGGGGTGCGCCCACGCGGCTGGCGGCGGTGCCGGGCCCATTGACAGGTCCGTTTGTCTGCCGCGCTCGACATCCGGTGACACCTGGGGAGGCCGCCGATGGGCCGATGATATGCGGCACGCTGCGCGCCCGACGTCGTCGGTCAATAGACGGCGGCAATGGACGCCGCCCAGCCACTATATTCAGCCGCATGCCTTTACGCCATGCACAGCATACAGGACCGCGCATAAGACATGCATACCGGCCGACGAGTTTGTCAGAGCCGTGGCGGAGCTCATTTCTCCATACCATTCTCTGCGAGAAGGGAGCGAAGAGAATAAAGGGGAATAATTTTAATGGTTTATGAATCTTTCACGAAACTTACGAGTTGTGCTCTAATGACACCTTTCTCATAACTCATGTTTGGCCAGCGATCCATTGTCAAATGACCTTCGGAAAATTTTCCATTCACTGTTCAATATCCATCATTCGGCAATCAATAAAGCATCCCCACCACTCGTGGCTGTACTTTGCTCTTCGTTATCAATGCTAGCTGTTTATACTCTTTGCGAAAGCGAGATTCAGGTCAAGCAATTCTCAGCGATATCGAAAAAATATTTTCGTTGACATAATCGCGGTTGACGCAGCCGGAACACTGGTACCTATGATAACCGTCTTTAGTTGTTTGGCCTTGCAAAATGCAAGCTAAGTGGTACTTACGTGACACGAACGGTAAAACAAGTCTGGTATCACGAAACATGAGCGACTGCATGCACAAGTATACTTACAGACGTTAGACATGTTTACCTTCTCATGACTTCATTTGCGTAACATTTAGCGAAGAAGTTTGCGCAGAGATGTGCAATGTATCATGCACACTGCGCATTCACGTTCGCAGTGTGACCTATCTGACCCCACACTGACCTTCAATAACTTATGGTGACCTCCGGATGACCCCTGGTGACCTCTGCCGCACAGGTTCGACGCCCGCGGCCGTCCCAGCGAGCGGGGCCGGTACCTGACCGACGCGCCGTCGGAGGGGGGTCGTGTGCAGCTCTCCTCGTCGCCGTGGGGTCTGAGGGTGTCGGCGCTCCGGGAGCGGGACAGCGGCCTGTACGTGTGCCGCGCAGAGTTCAGCGCCAGCTCCACTCGCACCAGCGTCACCCGGCTGGAGGTCATAGGTGAGCACTGAGTGAGCACATCACCCGGGTGAAGGTCATAGGTGAGAGAGCACCAGCGTCACCCGGCTGGAAGTCATAGGTGAGTACTGAGTGAGCACATCACCCGGGTGAAGGTCATAGGTGAGAGAGCACCAGCGTCACCCGGCTGGAAGTCATAGGTGAGTACTGAGTGAGCAACAGCACCGTCCACGGGAGAACGGGACAGCAAAGGAGCAGGTGTGAGCATTTCAGGTATTGTAATATGTGTAAGAACTTTTCAAATGTTTCTCAGGGCTGGAACATTATCCTCCAGCTAGCATGCTGAAACATCTAGGTCTGCGCGATGAACTTTGATTTTGTTACGCCTTGTATCACCATGTATCACAGTCTGCATGTATAGGAGGACGGAGGTCAGGGCCAGCGGCACCTCTGCGCTTCCCGAAGCCTCCGCCCCGTCGCGACACCTCTGCCCCTGCCCGGCACCTCCCTCCGATCTTTCCGACACCTCGATTATACCGTGGCACCTCCTCTGCCCCTACCGCGGCACCTCCATTCCACCGTAGCACCTCCGCCGTCCCGCCGCGGCCCACCTATCGATCAGCGGCCGTTAGCTCGCAGCCCTCCGCAGAGGTTTGCCGCCGCTCGACGGCTTCCCGCCCTCGTTAGTGAGCCTCCTTACGTCTGTTTTGGCTTACGTTTAACAAAACACATTTGTTTACGCAGCGTTAAAATGGCGTGAGCTCGACAGCCACTCCCCACTTCTAACATTAAATGGGAAATGTCTACTTTGAGCGATATAAATGCAAGAAAACAGGTTATCAAGCTTCGTGGATCGAATCTGGAATCAGTTAAGCTGAAAATGTAATCACATTGTTAGTATTTTTAATGATGTCGTTAAAGTGACGTAGTAAGCGAGGTGAAAAAAACGCCAGCTGCTGCTCATGAAGGGGTAAATAAGTAAAACGACTACACGCATACAGTGTATACGTTACTGTTAACGTGCAGGGTACGTGTGTAACAGCTGGGCCGGTGCGATGAAATGACGGTCATCTACAGGGTGCATGGGCTGCTGTACAAAAGTAAGACATGGAAGAGAAAAAGGAACATACCAATCGAAGCGTCTTTTTAAAAGAAAACATCAATCTAAGGGTATCTAAAGAAGTAAAACACCGATATGTGAATTGTTAACCCTCGCCCCGTTGGGGGGGCCATTTTGGACCCCCCCTTTGGTTTTTCCTGAATAGCAAGAAAATGGCGGCGCGCAGCGCCGCCAAATTTTCAATACCTTCCCGGGCATCAGTTTGACACCTTCACACCAAATTTCAAATCTTAGGTCACCTTAGGTCAGGAGTTATTGAGGTCAAACTGAGGTCATGTTCGAGCAAAAATGAGCAAAAAACATGCAATCTTGAAACGCTCACCAAATCTACAGTTATCAAGCAATTTCAAAGTTCTTTATATGGTCTAGTAGACAAAAAGCGGCGCTACAAAACTGCTATCTCAGATTTTCAAAATTTTGGGTTTATGACCCCAAAAATTCAAAAAATTGATTTTTTTAGAAAACTAAAAATAAATCCAAAATTTTTCCGAATTTCGAAAAAAACCGGAATATTTGTGATAGTCCCTGCGCTCTTCTATATACATACCAAATTTCAGATCGATATCTCGTTTTTGGCCAAGTTATAGCGAAAAAAACTGTTCAAAAATGATGACGTCAAATTTTTTAACTCAATTTTTAGCGATTCTAGACCACGTACGGCAAAACAAAGACCACCATTGAACTCCCCGTGACGAGCTGCATCGATTCGATACCAATTTTATGCAAAAATATTAATTTTGAAATTTGACCTAATTTGACCTGACCTTGACCTGATCTTGAGCTGACCTTGACCAAAACGTGACCTAAGCTGGCTCCAAAGGCTGCCTGACCCATATAATCGCATTTGTCATGTAAAATGGACCATAAAACATGTATCACACGACACTTTCATATTGTGACCCCCCAGTGACCTGACCCCTGTGACCTGACCTGGTATCAGTGACCTCAAATAGCAAAATATGTGTTTGAAGAACATTTCCCCATCGATGATTTTCAATGAAATGCATTTTACTCGATTTTACAACGCATTTCTTGAAATGCCTGTAAAGGGTGAAAATTGGACCTTTGACCTGACCTGTGACGTCATCGGTTTGACCTAGGTCAATAAAATTGGGTCACAAGGTAGTTCCCTGATAGGGCTATCCAACACCGTTTGCCGCTTGTCGCTAGGTTGCGTGGTTCTCGAGATCTTAGGGGGGCAAATGCCCCCCCCCCAACAGGGCGCGTTGCTCGGCACTCGGCAGAGCCCAACGGGGCGCGGGTTAAGACGTGTTAACTGTTTAACTTTATCCAGGCTGTGCTGGACGATAATGCACGTTACAGGAAATAGAGGTGAAAGTCACGTTTGATGGCTTATTAACCCGCGCCCTGCTGGGGGTGGGGGGTGTTTGAACACCCCCCTTGTGGTTTTTCGCGAATATCTCAAAAAACGGATCAATTCTACACATGCTGTGAAAATTTCAGACCAAGGTCATTCAAGGTCAGGTCACCAGGTCACTTGAAGTGACCTCACCTCATAAAAAGTTTCAATGTCTGTCATAGCTACACCGAGTGACCGATCGCTCTGAAACTTTCAGCGATTGCTAAGAGCAATAGCATGTACAAAATGTATATCTCAGAATTTTGATATCGATGACCTAAGGTCAGGTCAATTTTGCGACCTCCCCATTATAAGTCAATGGGAGAAAATTGAAATGCGCCTCTTTTGGACGAAAGACATTATAAACACTCCCAAACACCGAATTACAAGTGGTTTAGACACACTGAACGTGAAAATGGTGTCCGTGACCATTGTTTATGCCCTGAGGTCATCTTAGGTCACGAATGGTATCTAACAGTTTTTCGCAAATAACTTTCGATAGAGGCATGCTAGAGCGATGAAATCGCCTTAGATGTGTTCAGATCGACGATACGGATCGACTGATATGCAACATGACCCTTTCCGGTCAGGTCATGACCTTGACCTGAGGTCAAATTTTCAAGTTGACCTTTCAAGGTCAAAGTATAGTTCATTCGATGCGTCTTGACGAGAGGAACACGATGCCGGTAAAAGTAAGCTCGTACGGGGCTTGGGTCAAAAGTTATTGCAGAAAAACTGTTTCCGAAAAAATCGGCTATTTTTGCAGTTTTTGCCCCCTGCAGGCAAAACCGTTGACGTTAGGTCAAATCTGAGAGAATTATTCAGAAAAGGCGTTAATAGGGCTATCGAATGCGCTTTTCCGCGGCGCTGTAGCTCTATTGGTTCCCGAGTTATGCGTTGGCTTCTTGGAAAATTTCGACATTCGACCTGGAAATCGGCGAAATTTTGCCTTCAATGACCTCTGGTGACCTGACCTTTGACCTGACCAAAAAATTGACCGAAGTGATTTCGTCATTATTTTTGACGCTCTTTCGAACGCCGCCTTCCGCGTATCGCTACGTGGCCCAGGAGCCGAGTTACAAGGGGGGGGGTGTTCAAACACCCCCCCCCCCCCAGCAGGGCGTGGAAATCCAGGACCCCCAGCCGGGCGCGGGTTAATTCGTGTTCTGTAGTCTGCACATAGTTTTCGAAGCTTTTCAAATTATTTCATACCTGTAATGTTTTCGAAGATTGCGTTTTTACTTTAAATGTAACTTTTTATGTACGTTAATTATTTGGATTACCCTCCGAGTAAGCTCGTCAAATCACTGGCCCTGCATCATCCCACCGTCTTCTGTCACCCCACCGTCTTGAATAGCCCCTCCTGTCCTGCACCACCCCACTGCACTGTCCTATGTCACCCCCACTGTCCTGTATCACCCACCGTCCCGTATCACCTGACCGTCCTCTGCTGCCCCCCCCCCCCCATACCGTCCTGTATGACCCCACCGTCTTGAATAGCCCCTTGTCCTGTGTCACCTCATTCGTCCTGTGTCAACCCGACACGGCAGTCGCCGACAATGGCACCCAGCAGGCATCGATCCGCCTGTCGCACGTCCATGGCCTTCTTAGGAAAAATGCCGCCAGCAGCGGACACTGATTCGCTTTGAAGTTTCCGGGGCTTACGTTGAACAGCGAATGTATTGGCTGCAATTATGCCTGCCTACAGTTTCTCTGTTTCTCTATGGTAACTTTTGTTTCTTCAAACCATCGAAGATAGCTTACCTCACCTAAAACAGACGCAAGTACCTATTTTACATGCACAAAAGCTGGCGTATTGAGGTAATGGGTACCTACATAAGAGCAGGGGTGTCATTCATAGATCTTCATCAATCCAACAGTAGGTATTTCACAATATTTAAAATTCGTAAAAATTGGTACTGCATAATCTACATGTATGAAACGGACGTGATCAGTTTATGAACAGCTGCCCTCTCCTACCCCTCCAACTCCCTATCCGACCCTCCAGTTGCCCTGCAATCCCTCCAGCTTAATTTCCCGTCGTCCTTTCAGCTGCGGGCCTGTAGCCCTAAGTCGCTCGGTGCCATCAATCGCTACATATATTGGGCTGACCGCTATATTTCATAGTCGACCAGCCCCGTCTCTGTCGACTTCAGCGGCACGTGGCTCAGTCCGCGCGTGGCGGCGGCATAAGGCGTGTCGACCTAACCCGGGGGGCGTGTCGGCGGCATAAGGAGTGTCGGTATAACACAGACGGTGGCATGGGGCCTTGTCGGTATCACGGGGACGTTGTCGGTATCACGGGGATGTGTCGGTATCACGAGGTGGTGTTATTATCATGGAGGTATGCCAGTGTCATGTGACTTTGTCGGTATCACATAGCTTTGTGCATATCAAGGGACCGTGCCGGCATAATGTGCTTTTGTCAGTATCACAGGGCTGCGCCGGTATCACGGGACCGTGTCGGTATCACAGGGGCCGTGCCACCATCATGTCTCAAGTCGTTGTGGAGCTTGGAGATCGGTCACACGAGCTCTGATCGAATGGATTGGAATGGCCAGAGCAGTGCTTTGTGTTACATAATGAGCTTACACTGTGCCGATGGTGCCATTTGATTGATAGTTATCGTTTCATTATGCGACGTAATGGGCTTTTATTAGTAATTGTTATATTAGTGTATGCCTGTATGCACTTCCAAGGTTAAATTTTGCTACGAGACCTGCGCAGTATACGGTTATGTATACTAGCAGCAGCCGTCTGCGAATGCCTGTAATTGTAGTGCCACTGCCTACTTGTGTCAGGTCAATTGCCCACTAAATGAACAACTTAGCCGGTAAACTGTATGACTATTCTGGACCTAAGTTGTCTCCTACCGTTACATGGAATGCTAGAAACGTGAAATGTCGGAGTAATTATATGTCTTGATAATGACACGGTTTTAGTTTTATGGCGCTGCTCCGAAGTTCCAGTTGTTGTCATAACATCGAAGATGCACATTCCGCTCGGTTTTCCGAGCACACTTGGGAGACTGTCCGCCCTTGTGACCGACCAGTGACAGTCGGTGACCGATGGCGGTACTCGGTTTTCAGTGCCTCCCGGGGAGCCGGTGATCTTTGACGACCGGCGGTGGGCGGTCGTTAACAGGACGGCGCCCGTTCCCGAGGGACAGCCACTCTTCCTCACGTGTGAGGTCTCCGGAGGTGAGGATATTCTGGCGCCGACCGGACGCCGGAGTCTAGACGGTCCCCACTCCTATCAGGGTTCCACATACTGCCTCCAATGTCGGCCCACCATGTTCGGTATCTCTACTCTATGCATAGGCACGGCGGGTTATGAAAGACATCTACCTATAGTTTGATTTTTTATTTCAGAAGTTTGCACTGGTGGGGTATAGCGGGCTTGTGCCTGCCCTTATCTACCGCTAAACCAACGTAAAGCCAATGAATAAATATGGATGTTTATTCATACGCAGCGGCGCCGGGGCACGGGGATTTGGGTTCGTTGCAGGGTTGGATTTAAAGTCTCTCAATAAATTCTGGCCGAAGCCCTTTGACCTATGCAGCCTCGCGGCAAAGTTCAGAACTACCATGCGCTTGGTCGGACAAGCAGCATCAGCTGAGTCTCGATCTTATGCTAACCCAAGATTCTTACAGATAACCAGCCTGTGATAACCAGCCCCACCCTAACTTTTTTACCGACGCTCGTGAATGGGCGCTGTGCCGGCGGTGGCCGGTCGCGCCGAGCGCAGTGTGCTGACCGCTCGGTGTGCTGTTCTGCAGGCCATCCGCCGCCGGAGCTGACGTGGACGCTGGACGGCCGCCGGCTGGAGGGCGGCCGTCGCTCCGTGTCCGGCTCCGGGGCGGTACAGGCCGAGCTGGCGCTGCCGGCCGTCCGGCGCCGCCAGCAGGGTGCCGAGCTGCGCTGTACGGCCGCCAACACCAACCTGACCGGCGCGCCGTGGACGGCCGTGCGCCTGGAGCTGCTGCTGGCGCCGCTGACCGTGCAGCTGACCGGGCTGCCGGCGGCTGCCAGCGCCGGCAGCACCCACCAGCCGAGCTGCCGGGCGGCGGGTGCCCGGCCGGCGGCGCACATCAGCTGGACGCTGGACGGCGCGCCCGTCACCTCCGGCACCGTGCAGAAGGTGAGGGGTCGGCACTGCTGCGCCGAACCGTGCACTATTGGGAGGGCACCTCTCTGCTAGGGCTACCACAACCACTGTTGTGTACGTTTTTGTCCTGTCGTGTGAAGTCTAGGCTTGTTTGCTTATGGGAAGCGATCCATGTGGATTCATGGTCACTCGTCTGTCAGTCGGGTAGGGGCTCTGCAGCAGCAGACTGTTCCGGCCGGCACCACTCTTGGCCTTACAACCCACGGGTCTTTCGTAGCGCTGATGGTGGCTGACGAGGCTGGCCTGCGTTTGCGTCTGATTAAGAGCCCCAGCTTTCCACTGGGTCGTACCCTGCAGGCTGCAGCCTGGTTCAGCTGAGGTGCCCGCCGGCAGGTCTCCTCTGACGGGAACGTGACGACCAGCTCCCTGACGCTGACGGTGCCCCGAACCAGCGAGCCGCTGCGACTCAGCTGCAGCGCGTGGAACCCGCAGCTGCCCCACAGCGAGCCCATCTCTGACTCCAGGCAGCTGGCCGTCCACTGTGAGTACTGTGAGATGGCTGTGGTGCAGCTGTGAGATGACTGTGGGGCCATTGTGAGACGACTGTGAGCCCACTGTGAGCCTGCACAACTGTGAGACTACTGTGAGGCAACTGTGAGACGACCGTGAGTACCGTGAGTCTATTGTGAGACGACTGTGAGTACTGTGAGACTCCTGTGAGGTCACTGTGTACTGTGCGCCGGCTGGTCATCCATTTGGCCAGAATATGTAGCGAGTCAGACGGCTGATCGTCTACTGCTTTAGTATGCGACCCTAGACGACTTCCTAGTCGTCCGCGGTGCATAAATACCGATTTCAGGTAGCTGGTATCTGGTGATTCACTTAAGTGCCAACACTAAGGTGGGCCTCAGTCAAATTTAAAGAAACAGTCAACCTACATATAGTTATGTGCGACACGACGCTTCCTAGCCTCGATGTAAAGACTCCATGTTGTGGAACGACTCCTTGGGTAAGTGGATTGTTCAAAGAACTAGAGACATCTACAGACTACATACCCTTACTAATGGGCGTGTCACGTTTCAACTAGCGCGAGCAATGACGTTTAATAGATCTTCATAAACCACTTCTGGGTTTCTCATTAGGAAATGGTTGGCTAAACCAGGAATGGATAAATAGGTATGAATTAGAGTGGACCAGGAGCAGCCGAAACAGTTGCTTACATAGGTACCGACTTCCTTATTTTTCGAATGCTGAGGCCTCTTGCACCAAACTACCTACCTAGATAAATTCCGATTTTACCTAAATTCTCTTGCACCTAACTACCTACCAAAAAACGCTACCGTGAAAATTTACCTAGAAATTCTACCGAGCGGCATCGGAACTTACCAGTTGTTAAAGTCCGACCGGCTGTTTTCCTCTTGCACCGAAAGCCGGAAAGAAGTACTCGCGGAGGAATTTTTGACGATTTGACGGTAAATCGGGCTTCCAAAATAACTAGCAAAACCTTGGGTAAAATGATTCAATTAGTGACATTAGGCACAATACATGATAGTCCACGGGTACTTTTATGTAAATTAGGCATTACAAAATGTTTCGACAATGATAAATCAATGTTTTATGGGTGAATAATGATATAATTGACCAAATGCTCCATCGGTTCACAGAGGTGCTTCTCCGTACCAAGGCGATAAACCTCCGTAGCAGAACAGCCAGGTTGAAGACTCACTCGTTGCCATGGAAACGAAGCTTATTTGTTCAAGTAATTTAATATCAAAATAACTTCTATCGGTAGTTACGTAAATGAAAAATGATTTCCTAATACCAAAATGTATATTAATAAAAACAATATACATTTAATTGTTTTCTTTAGTTACTATTTGTTTGAGCCCACAAATAATTCGTCGCCAAACAGCCAATCAAAACAAATTCTAAAAACGCGAGCTGTCAAATTTACCTAGGTAGGTAGGTAGGATGGTGCAAGAGAAGCTACCGCCGTAGGTAGTTTTACTAGGTAGGTATTTTGCCGATTCTACCTAGCTAGGTATTTTGGTGCAAGAGGCCTCTGTTCTGCTTTGGAATATAATATAACTTCTTGAAAATGAGGTCTTGCGAACCAGCCATCCAGTTGCCTTACGTCATGGTCTGCTAAGTAATACCATAGGATATGTGGGATAGCACGCCCCTTAGACTCCATAAATTTTTCGAGGTTTTGGAAATTCAAGTGCTACTATATAGGAAGAAGGAAGAAGGGAGAAGGCTGTTTCCTCCTTACCAGCTCATGAAAAGCTCATGCAAACTTAGGAAATAGCATTGGTGCCAAAAACAAGCGGCTATAAATGCAAATGAAATCCCTAGTTAACCCGCGAGTTGCTGGGGGGGGGGGGGCGTTAAACGCCCCCACTTTTTTCGACGGGCCATAGCATAAAAACGGCGCGCCGTGCAGGCGCGCCAAATTTTGGGTACCTGTAGGGAATTGATTGAAGTGTATTGTGACAAAGTTTCAAAAAAATCGGTCGGAAAATTTTTGAGATATCGAAGTTTTAGTGACGTCATGATTTCTGACTTTTCGACCAAAAACGGCATATGTTCAAAAAATCATATAAAATCACAGAATAGACGTACAGACATGCCGTAAACGCCATTAGACTGCCAATACCATGAACAATCGAATGGTTATCTTCGATTATTGATTATCGTTCCGCTTTTTCCAAAATCTTGAACTGAATCTTGGCAATTTTTCGTGACTTCTTCACGACCATGATACATGCATTTCTTAAATTGAACTTTTTGAGCCAAACACGTACACATATGATAAAATGAAAGTCGCCATCGTATTCTACGCCCCAAATTACCCATAAAACATGTGTAAGGGCAAAATTGAGCGCGTCAGAGAGTGTGTGGAGCGGCGGGCCGGAGAACCAGAGTGCGCGTTAGGCCAGTCCGCCGTATGTTTGCCTCCGGCGGGAAAGGCGTGCCCGCCGGGTGAAAGGCAGCGGCTGGCCGGCACCTGGGACTCGCGGGCCCGTCTCTCGGGGCATTTGCCAGTGCGGTGTCGTCGGGGCAACATCTTTCGGTAAGCGATCTTTTCCATCCCCCCTAAATTAACGCCGCAGCGCCCAGGCGCTGCGGAAGTCCCCGACAAATGTCCTGGATTTCATTTGGCTTTCCGACCCGCCGCAAATAGCGGTGGGCACTCCCGTTTATATCCAGGACAGTCCCGTCTAAATTATATTCATCGGCGCGGCGCGTGGGCTAAATGAGTGAGCGGTTGAAAGTGTGATGTGTGCTGTGTGCGTGAGCGATGGAAGTTGAGGAGTGATCATTTTATCCCGCAAATCTAAAATACATAGAGTTCGGAATGTGAGCGAAATCTTTCAATGGGGTAAAGGCAGATGCCGGGCTGATACACGGTGAACGTGAACGAACAATCATACGGGCCGCTCAGTTTAATACACCCGGGTGGCAGGCGGGCATTGTAGAGTAACTTTGGTTAACGTAATGTCTGTACATGGGGGGGGAACCAATAAAAGGTTGCAGGTTCCGATGCGTGAAACCCCTACATAAAAATGGTGCACCGCGGCCGGGAAACCTTTCCCATCGGAGGTCCGGACGCCCGAAGTGATCCTCCCGCGGCGACACTCGGGGGGTCTCCGTAATTCCGCTCCCCGGCATCAGTGCATATATTCGGTTCCTGGGTGTACTTGCCGCTTCCGGGCACATGGCCAGTGCCGGCGTTCATCATGCGCAACGGGAGGTCTGTGCTGCCCGGGGTAAACAATCCCGTATCACTCCTGTTGTCGTAGTGTAGTCTGTCCATGGGGAGGTCAGGTCGGAGCCCGGGTGGCGCTAAAGCGGGATCCAAGGACATGAGGTGGGCGGCGATTTCCGCTCCTTTGGAGATGCTTACCGGTCGTGCTGTTCTTACCTTTGGCTTCAATATCTTGTGTAAATCATTGCTTCCGTACTTTTCGTCACGTTCACACGCGTGAATCAGTCCAATTAAGGGGGGAATGGGGGGACAATTTGCCACCGCAATAATGAGAGATGAGGGCAGTCGGTTCGCGCGAGACCGTCGGAGATCGGGGATGAGATCGACGGCGTTCGGCGGTGCGGAAGAGTTCGGTCGGGCGAAATGGAATCCGCTTGTACGCGAGAGGAGTGCTCGCGTCGTCGTCGGTCGCGTGCGAGCGTGCAGGTTCGCCCGTTCGGCGGAATCATAGAGTCCGGTGACGAGCCGTCACCGCTGGTAGTGATGGCAACGAGGAGGTCGTCACCGGTGAGTACCGAAGGCCGCGAAATACCCCGGTATTTCAGTGTTACATGTGTGGGCGTGTGATTGGATAGTTTGGTGTATGTACAGGTATGTTACGGTTGGTGTGATTGAGTTAGTGCGAACAAGGGCATGTATGGTCACGAAAAGATGCGGAAAATTGAATTTTATGTATATCATTTGTCATCAATTTGCTTTCATCATTAGTACCTAATCAATTTACCTTCATTCATACACCTGATTTAAATATGTAGCAAATTGCTTGTGCCGTCTGCCATTCACGCCTCATAATGAGACCATAGAGGCTTTAGACATTTCCTGCGATTGCCTGAACAATCGCTTAGACCATAGTGCATTATATCTATAGTCTTAAGTGCAGTGCATCTTTGCTGTGCATATTAATTGTATCTTAAGATATTAACAGGAATGTCCATGGTTTTACGGGATATATAGGCATAATCGGTGCAGTGGATCGGGGAAATTACGGTTGGTGTTTTTGAGCGGGGTTTTTAAGCGGGGATGACGATCCCTCCCGTAAAGCCGTGCACCTAGTGCACCTTGTGGCGCTGACGAGTTGCCATTAGGACGGTACCGAGGCTGTACGTAGCTTAACGCGGGCAAGCTTAGCTCGGCAGCAAAGCCCTAATCAATTATTATCTCCACCTCGTGCCGAAAGGAGCCTTGCATTCAGGCAGCAACCTTTAGATCTCCCATGCAAGTTGTCACTTGCAAATTGCCGGGAAAACTGTCATAAGTGTGGTCCGAGGGTTTTGCTCATAGTTGATGACCCTGGAACCGTTTCAATGGATTCGTGTGATCCCCATTCATCAGCTAACTTATGTGGTACGCAAAGGCAGTGCAACAATGAATTATAAAATCAAGACGTCTGCAGGTCCAAGAGCACGGCTCATCCCAAAATACCCCTGTTAGGGATGTTAGTGGGCCGAGAAGTGTACGTTACGGAATGAGTCGCATTTCCACGAAAGATCTAATGTCCGTCGAGCTTCGTCAATTTTCCCGTCAATTTTCAATTTTGTCGTCAATTCAGGGAAGTGATAAAATCTTACGGTTCATTGCAGTTTCTTTTGACGCAAAACGTACCTAAAACGTCTCGTCAAATCTTCAATATTATGTTCAAAGTAGTTAATTCCCTCGTTTAATCCATGCATTTTCGCGTTGTCATTTCCTTGTTTAAAACGTGGTAGCGATAACTCAACTAAATTCAGTCACGGACCAGAAACAAGTTCTGAACAGCTTTGGTTCCAGGTTTA